GCATCTCCTGATAGCTTATAGATTTTATTCACTTGTTAAATCTGAACTTTGCACTCTATCAACGAGTGTCTATTTTCGTTATTCGTTTGGAGGTGACAAGTAGCGGAACCGAGTCTTTTGTTTTCTTTTATTTTGGACCAGCCAACCATACAAGGTCCAGTAATGGTATGTTTCAATCTGTTCAAAGACTTAACCTTTCTCACTTTAGAGTGCTATCAGTGCTCCTTGTCAGTCGACAGTGGACAGATAGGTCACAATGTTCATGCCTAAGCTGGACACCATTAACCAGTGTGATGTGTCTAGTCCTTTCTTCGTTGCAGACTGAATTCTATCAGTCAGGTTTGCAATGTGGCCACCATTTTAGTTAGCTCGCCATGATGGTACACTTTGAATTTTTGATGTTTGACGGTTGGAGGCAATCAACAGGAAGCCTTGGACCTTGGTTTCGTCCTAGTTGGGACTCGTCAGCAAGGCGTATCTGCAACCTTGAAGGAACTTATGTTGCTCCTGAGATTCGAACCCACCTCACCCAGTACTGCAGTCAGAGACGTTACCACTGAGCTATTCGGGCTCGCGACTGACCTCCTCCTCATGACTCTGTATTAAAGCAAACATATTTAAATGACAGAAAGACAGATATCCATTGAGGGCACTGAACGTAACCCCAAAATCAGAACTTCTATTCAAACATTCTCAATTCTTTATTAGCCCAGTTGCCTTACATATGATTAAAACAGCACACGAAGTGAATATCTTGACTGACTTTGATTCTACGAACAGACGAATAAGTCCAACTTCCATTACTTTTCAGGATCCGATTTGAACACAGATGGTGTATCCGAAAGAAAACTGTCTATCATTTTACATCACCCCAGTAACACTTTTTGAACTTATTACTTGTAAATGTATTCTTTTTTCTACTACTACTACTACTACTACTATTTCTTTTATTCAATTTGAGGAAAGGTTTACTCTGCTGAGAGTGGAGTATTCGCTGCTTAGTATACATCACTCCCGCTTGGTACGGAATTAATGTTTGAATTTTAACACACACTAAAAGTAACTGCCTTTACAAGACGAGGATTAGGATGGGATGAGGTGATTTGCATAGTGTTAGCTGTAGTAAGAATATATGGCATCAGAGTCTTAATAGTCCTTACTGTAATAAGCAGTTGTAATGCAATATGAGTACAGAATAAAACATAAGATAAAGCTATACTACTAAACTCAAATGTGGCTTATAAGACTTCACTACTGACAAAAAAGCGTTGGGGATACAAGCTTACCATACTAAACTATTGACGTGAGCTGCGCATTAAATCACATACTTGAATGTTTATATTTATTACTAAATTTATCGACGACACATATTTAACCCGTTATAATGTTTAACTGTCCAATAAACTTTGGAAAATGACATTAGTAACTGCTTGAAATCTTTAAATGCTGTAGTTTTAGTAAAGAGAATAGAACTGTAAATATACCTGAACAATAAGTACAACAGAAATCAAAGTTTGCCTAGTTCTAAGAAAAATTCCTATTCCACTTTTCAACCACATTTGGTTTGCCCAGGTGTTACTTGATGAAGTATATCAACCATACGTTTTGAAAAAAAAACGTATTCACTCACCGATTCACTCAACATATTTTCGTATTTTTTGCTAAAACTTATTAACTTGAAAGAGATAGCATTATTTGCAAAAATTTCATATAAAGGTGTTAATTTTCAGCAAAGTAAATTTCTGTGTGATAACAAATGTGTAGAATGAAAGAAATTGCAAGTAAATTTGGTTTATTACCGTCAGATGTCAACTAGTCATTATTAGTGTTTTGTATTTACAAAGCACTTGAGGACTCTGGAAAGTGCGAAAATGCATTAATAGCTCTTATCGTATGCTGGATTACTATTATTATTTGCTTTAATTCCTAGAGGAACATAGGGCTTCAGCTGCGTGTCTCCATTGCCTTCGGTTCTCTGACAACGTTTTCACCCCGCTCCAAGTCTGCCCACACTCTTTCATCTCCTCTTCACATCACTTCCTCCAAGTCGCCCCACTCTCGCACTGACGACCAACTCGCTGCCCACCTCCCTTTCGGGTTCCAATCGAGCAATGGCTTGTCTAGTGATGTCACTTGATGGTTTCCTCAGCGTATGGCCAGCCAATCCATCTCCATTTCTTCCTGCCTATTTGTTTCACAATCGGTTCCTGCTGTGTTGGTTCGCTCATTGCCAGAGATCCCACCCTGTCGCTGATCATTTCTGGCCAGCCATCTGATGTTGAGTATTGAGCGAAGACAACTGTTGATGAAGGTCTGTGGTTTGTTTGAGGTGCTCTTAATGACGCCCAGTGCAAGTCTCTGATCCGTACAGTAAGTAGCACTGACTGACTTCACATTGGAGTTGAAAATCCTGATCTTATTTTGATGCTGAGTGATGTTGACCTCCACACAGACTTAAGAGTAATGAAAGCTTGTCCCGGTTTTCCGATTCTGGCTTTGATATCCTCGTCAGTTCTGTCCACCTGTAGTTGAAACGATGCTTTCCAGGTAGGTAAAGGCGTATACTGGATAATGAAACTTAACCTTGATTCTCATTAAAAATGGCTCATTATTTTCTAGGTTTCGAGGAACATTTGTGACACTGGTTCCTTTGATAATATGTGACTGCTGGAAAGATTAATTATGAGGGATATGATGTATTTATGTGTTAAGAAAAGGGTGTAACAAACAGGATCAAACCAAATGTTTAAAAATAAGTGCTATACTATTCAGCATTATTTATACTCCTGAATTCCTTTCTAGGATTTAACTCTAGGCTTTGAGTTCAACCTACACTAACTTTATTATTTCGCACTCATGAATTCTAAAAAACTGTTTACGATAAACTATTGTGTTAGGTTGGACTACTTATGCCAACAGAAGGCTTTCAGTAACCGATTTGCAGTGAGGGAATAAAGTTAATATATATTTCTCATCAATTGACTAAAATATTGACTTCACGTGTTTGTATTGTCTTCTCTTTGACAAAAGCAATTTTGTTATCTTTAAATTATCATTTGTAGAGAGTGGTGAAATTTTAATGAACAAAATTTTTTAGCTACAATCGTGTTTAAAAGTTGTACGATATCACTTTATAAGCAATGCCGTTTGAAGTAAGGCATAATAAGAGTTTTACCACCCATTCGAAGCTATACGGATTTAACCAAAAGTGTGAAATGAATCTAAAAACCATGTGTAGTGCTAACCGAATCCTGTTGATCTTTTGTGCAAACATCATTCCTGATTTTTGCTAGGAGTTACTGTATATTATTTATCCAACTATGAATTCCTTTATATATATATATATATATATATATATATATATATATAAATATTTGTTTACGGCTTGAAAGTAGCCACTACAGATGCTTCATACATGACTGTATTATTAGACAAGTAGTGGAGAGGATTCATGTATTGGATTGATCAGTGGTACTTTCGAAAACTTTACACAATTATTACTTGAAAACTAAAGAGATAAGTTTGTACTTTACCAATAGTTATCTTATGGACAACTTCCTGTCTACGTCCCTATTACAAAATGTTTTAGACTATCTCGACCAGATCACAGATATAGTTCATATCTGTCAGGTGTGTAGATGTTCTTGGCTTAAAAAGTAAATAAAATTTCATCGGCCACAAGTAAATTTTGAAGACTGATCATTCAGCTATGTCACTTAAATTCCTTATATATTTTGTTTAATAATTTATTAACAGGGAGCAGTGGATATTTGTATCATCCTAGTTTGAGACTGATTGGGATCCCGCAACCATTGGGTTTCGAACCCAGGACCTTCCAATAACAAGGCAAATTAGTATACCATTCGGCCAATCGGACCCGATTCAATGCCTCATGAATTCCAACTTCTACCGATTCGTGATTTTATCGTGACCGCCAACCGATGTCATTGGTAGGGACTCCATTCTCACTCCCGACTGGATGGACACCACTGGTCACGAATTCTCACCAGAATTCCGGGCTACTTAGTCTTTTAGTCAGAATTCACAGGTCATTCAATCGGGTCCCATTGGCTGAATGCTATACGAGCTTGCCCTGTAACTATAAGGTCCTCAGATCGAAGCCTAGTGGGTGCGTATTGCCAAAAAGTTTCAAACTAGAACGAAACAGCTGTCGAGTACTCCATGGTTTTCAATGTTTCTCTAACTGATATCAGTCCGTCGTTTAGCCTAAAACAAATAGAACCCCAAAAAACTAATTCTTGAAAATTTATTAACAAGAAATTTTTTAAAATAACTCTGAAGAACACTAGCCTCCAGTGAATTCGATTATAGTTTGCCAAGTTCTGAAAGAAACCAAATAATTGAAAAATTTGGCTGAAATCGAACTAATACCTAAATTGTGTCGTTAAAGTTACTTAGTCGTTGAAAAAGTTGATGCTATTTACAAGTGGAAAATGAAAGTTTCTGTAATTACAAATGTACTTCAGCTGAGCCATTTTGATCACAAAATGTGTTGTTAAACCTGAATTGTACATTATACAAGCATATTTAGAAAAAAGGGTAAGGTGCATGTTGATTGTTAAGATTGACTCATGTGGTTTTAATATGAGATGGACAGCTCAAATAAACAGGAACACCAGATGTAAACTGACACCAAATGTATCAAGTAGTAATGATTCTGAGACAAAATGCTTTTTTGTCCTGTCATGCATTTCATTATAACCTTCCTTTTTCAATAATATTTCTACTAATTATTTAGTCTGTTTACGATTAGTTCGATGTGTAAAACTGGTTTAGTTGTAATGTGTTTGTATTCATTGTTTTCTGATTTATTATAAGTGTTTCTCTTGTACTTATTGTCAGACTCTGACAAAGACAAAAATCATCCCTGTTTTCACCATTAAAACTATGATTTGTTATTGTAGCTTTTAGTATCCAATCGGTGTGTGTGTCTTGCCTCAGTCACTAATTTATGACTTTCACTGCACTTTGTTTATATTCTTTATTTTGATTTGTATTATTTTCTCCATCATGTAACACTTTGGCAGTTTCATGATGCAGCTTGGAACTATATCAGTATACCTTTCTTTCAGACATAAGTGCTATTACTTCTCGTTAATCACCATTGGATCCGGATTTTGTAATCCACTAAATTTATGAAGAATGCAGTTAAAAGAACTTATTATGCAGCAGAGGTACGTTGTCTCTTTACAACCACACCTATTTTATGTTCGAGAAATAAGGATAAACTACCTAAATTCGCCTCTTCTATGTGTATCTACCAGTTCGACTGCAACTGCGGAGCCAGCTACATTGGGTGTACAATTAGGCAAGTTCATCGCCGTATTTCCGAACATCATCCAACGTGGTTAAGTAAGGGACAAAAAAGATCTATTCGTAGCTCTATTTTAGCCCGCCTCGTTGATACTGACCATAAGATTGATGTTAATACAGCATTTAAAATTATTTATCGCATTCCAACTTATCTTAATTTTGCTCTGCGAGTTCGTCTTCTACAGACGGCTGAAGCGATTGGCATTCATCTGAAGAAGCCAAGTCTATGTGTACAGAAAAAATTTGTAAAGCCACTTTCCCTACCGTGGCCATCGTCACAAGAATGGATAAACAGGTCTGCGTCACCCCCCTCCCCCTAAACCTATAAAATTGTATTTGTCTAAATAATTTATTTTATTTATTTTGACCACTTTATCTTTAATTTACGTGTTATTTTTGTAAAATTAATTTATTCTATCCATTTCCACCTTTTAAATCTGTATTGATTTTTCTTCGTTAACTATTAACCCATTGACACTGTTTAATTACTGTTAACAAACTTATCGCCACTTGATTGGCAAACTGTTGTATTGGAATTAAAATGCTATATATATTAGAGTAGAGCCAAAGATGAGGATCTAATTGAAAAGTAAATATTTCTTCGCTCAACCTTTCTGTTTATTAAAATATTTGTTAAATATATTATATCGTCTGAACAAAGATAATTATGCTGTTGAATTGAACGATTTCAGAACACTTATTTTAATCAGTAAGCTGAACCTACAGCATTTAATACACTTGAACCTAGGATCATTGAATATCATTAGGACTACAGTTTCCTTCACTAGTTAATGACGTCGAGATGGACAACCGTAGTAAGTGGTTTTGCCTAAGCAGATCATTGATATAGTAACTCGTAGCAATTTTACAGACTTCAATAGATCCATCGTCTTTCTCCAGCTCCCAGGGTATTCCTATCCCGCCTGTACATCTATTTAAAATCAAGGTGCACACTTTGACACGGGCTACATGAATGGCATAAATTATTTAAAGAACAACGGGAATTAAAAGGTGATGTCAAATGGTTTTCTGATAAGTCATTCATTATGCAAATCAATAAACCCATTATATTCATGATGCGGCATTCACACATAATTTTATTATAGCCGAATTCTCGTGCACAGTGCACCTCTAGAAATAAAACGTCTATTTGAAAACAAACACGTTTTACATAACATAGGTAATAAACAGGCTTAAATTACTTATTGCTTGTCATTTCGAATGAAATTACTTAATTTATGCTAATTCAGTTTCGGCATTCGCAAGACATAATTTTAAAATGCCATTTATTTTTATTAGCTTAGCGGTATTTCACAATTAATCTTCATTAAAAATTCAATTTAAACATTTCAGCTGTAAGCGATATTCACTTTAGGTGTATTATAATGGAACCTGATAAAATATAGCGCTCAGTTTATCCCTTTTCAGGATTTAAATTGTTTCCGAAATATAACCACTTCATGTCCTAACAATAAAATAAAGAATATTTACAGTATTGTGGAAGTGTTTGTTAAGTATTTACCCTTAAATATTGATGAAAAGACTTGTAAGTTAGAAGCAATTAAGTAACTAAAACTGTTACATCTACGTTTAACAAGAGCGGTAACTTTATGCTTTGTGATTGTGCTTAACAAAGATTTGTGTGGTACTGTACGCGCGAAAAAGTCATTAAAGTAGGATCTTTTCAGCTACAGTTCAAGTTTGTCCACATGGTGTGTCTATAATTTTGGGGGGGATTTTATTTTGCCTATGTGGATATGACTGAACCTATTCGCAGCGATAATTATTTATTTATTATGTTCTACCTTACAGTTAAGTCAAAGAATCCTGACGAAATATTTCAGCCAAATATTTCTAATTTTATTTTCTTGACTTATGCAGTGAACATATGTTTACCAAAATTTCTGTATCTCTGAGGTTACTTTTTAATAATGAACGCCAAAAAGCACAAGGTCTTCATTCACACGTATATCCAGTACTATTGTTGAAAGCTTAGCATAAAGTTCTAGTAAATCTGTTTGTGTGCACTGACAATGCTGTGGAGGTTATTCGACTTACCAAAAAAATTAAGGATTTTGGACCGCTTACCGAGTATTTTGCATGCAGTACTGCAGACAACACTGTCTTTTTCCTGCTATGTGAACTGAAATTAACTATGAATCAAAAAGTCAGAGTTTTTTTATACTTTTCAAACAGGTTATAGAGTAAGAAGTAAAATGAATTTGAACAACGAGAATAAGATTAGTATTTATCTCACCACAGAATTACTTCACTTGTTGTACACATATTTTTTATATATTCTGCATGTGTTGATCTAGCAGATCAATTGAGCTTATTTATCACATACTGGTTTAAAACTAGGACTGCTAATCATGGATTTGTATTGCTGAAGAGTCCAATACTAAAGAAAAATAGCTGTTCAGGAGCTTCTGTTTTTCATTTCCCCTCAAACTGAGATTAGTTTTCAATTCAAATTGAAATCTCAAGGGCATTTGCGTGTTTGTGTAAAGGAATAGGGATATACAAAGTGACCGGTCGTCATTTTTAGTGGGTTTATACTGGATTATTCTGGTTATTGAGTATTGAAGGTTTTACTTTTTCTTTGAGCATAAAAACTGTATATTGAAAGGAACAGTATACACCTAGAGCGCAGTTAGAATATTCTTCTCAAATATGCTATTTGTCCGAATATTTGTTTCTCGGACAGTTTTTCGGCTTGTGTATCTAAAAAGAATTGTCATTCTATGCATTGTTACTACATCATGTTGCACAAGATTCATATAACTTCAGATTGTCTAACTGTTAAATTAATTAATCATTTTTAGTCTGCATTATACAAGTTAAAGTGAAATTTCTTTTGCAGTTCACAAAGATGACAGTTTACATACTGCAGTTAGCTTATAGACCTATACCATGCTGATTACTTCAAAATGAGTTAACAAAACTCTTGTCTTCTAGATTCTTTGACATTTACAATTTCAATATCACGTACATTGTTGTGCTTGTTTGCTTGCCTGCTTGTGATTGTCGCTTTACAACGAACATTTTTCTTCCACAGAAAACAATTTTTCACGCTACACTAAATACTAAAAATTAAACTTAGGTACATTGTGATATCTTTTTGTTGATTTAGCTGCCTCTTTTCAGTAAGTCATCTCAACAGAAAATTCCTGCTAGTATTTATTCCCACTGTTTCTAAAAAATGATGCGACTCATATTTGACTGAATGCACTTCAACCAGATAACTGGTGTTTACTAACCTTAAGCATCCTGGTTTGGCGACAACTTCCAGCACAAAATCACAAACTATTTTTAACTAGATTTTTTTTTTAAATCTCTAGAGCTTCCATGAATGCAGTAGTTTCTTTTTGTATCAGTCAGTCGAAACTGACCTCTGAAAAAATGTCGTTGCATCATTGTGCTTTCCAAGAATATAAGTGAGAGATTTCTATTGAATACAACTGTTATTTCACAGTTTAAGATATCGTCATGAGGTGAACTTTTAACCACAAAAAAGGATTGAAAGAAAAGAGTAAAAACATTCTTTTTTTTAGTAAACTAAATATGCACATGTTGTAATCGAAGAAATGTTTTTGATCGGACAATTGTTGTCAATACCTTCGACTTTAGGCTCTGCAGTTATAAATCCATGAACAGTAGAATAAAAATCGCCAGTTAATGCAAATAAAAAAAAGATATATTTTAGAAACTGTATTCGGGTGCAAGTATAAGATCCGATAATGGTTCGTTGATTAACACTGTCAAGTGAATACACAATAAAAATGTACATAATGATTCATAATATAAGGTAAAATCTGAATAGACAAAGAAGTGACATATTAAGGTATACAAAATGTAAACAGATTTAACAGTTCCTATGGATCTTGTTATATAGGAGGAATTTTTCCATATGCAGTAGTGACCACTTTCCAGTTTGGCTTAGAAAAGGAGTAACCAGATCAATGAGTAGTACTGTTTTTTCTCTTCTAGTGGATAGTGAACACTGAATCAAAATGGATGAGTCATTTACAATTGTGTATCGAGTACTGAAGAATCTGCCTGAAAGTACACGATTACATTTCCTAGCCGTAGCTGAAGCTAAGGGGATTGATAAAAATAAACTCAAAAAAGATACATTCATCATCTTTGTCTACTATAAAGTCATCGAGGACACATATTCTCAGATCCTATTATTACTAGGAATAATTGTGAGTGTATACTAGTATCCCTTTTGTGGTGATAAATAGGTTTGTTCGACTGAATTCTACTTATATCCATAAAAAATTGCCTCCCTGTAATTTTTCGGCTACTAACCGCGGCTAAGTGTGAAACTTAATTACGGTTATCAAAATGTGGTTTACCTAACCTTCCTTCTTCTAACATAAATGTAGAAAAAGTCGAATATTTACATATTTTCATAATACTTCGGTGTTGTTAATTGGTGGAAGTTAATCATAAAAATAATATAAAATATGACCCCAATAAAATAACTTTCTTCAAATTGAGTTTGTTTATATAAAGACTGACATTCTTAATGAAACTGATTCAGACGATTTCATGTTTTCCTTAATATATATATATATATATATATATATAATGACAATATGCAAATACATGTATTTAATCTTTCGACACTCTTATTTATGATTCTTCCGCTGACATAAAATGTCAGACGCCAGATTACATTTCTTTCTGACTCACTATACTGCTTATTCGAAACTGCATATATATCCCCGTATAGTAGACATTACAGATAATTAAGAATCCTAATAATTTGATGATAAATGACCAGTTAAATGCATAGACTTCTAAATATATTAAAAGCTATGCTGATGTGAAAGAGTTTTCAGTCTCAGCTCATAAACCTACTAAGAAGTTAGATAGAATTACTGTATTGCTGCAACATATTAGATTGTTTTGCAGTAGTAGTGAAGAAGACTTTTATCCAAAATTCATTACCACTTCTGGTCAGCTTTATTTGATATGCACTGTGCCCATGTCAGTAATGATGAACTGAATAACACAAAATGATGTCTTCTTAGTCATCCTCTATTTGGCATTATTACCTCATACAAATGTTTTTCGAGTGAAATACTCATTAAACGCATCTATCTACAGAATTTCAGAATATAATTTATGTTTAAAACAATTAGTTCTCTTAATGATTTTAGATAAAGCAATAAGAAAACGTAATTTGTCTGGATCGTGTAATGTATTTGTGCAACACATTTCGAACAATCTGATCACACACAGACTTGTCGTAGGAATATATATATGAAATTAATAAAGAGGTTAGAGGTGAGAAAATAATTTATGCTGCCGAGTTGTTTTTATTACTTCCATTCCGTGGTAGATTTGCAATCAAATATTTTTCAAAGAATCCAAAATGTAAAAATGTGTCACCCGTCCTCTAAATACTTTAGTTATTCTAATTATTAATGTTCATATACTAGGCTTTGTGTTTATTGCATCAAAACGTTTACTTGTCAGATCTGTACCTCTCTTTAAGCCTC